TTGAGGGCCAGGCAGCGGCACTGCGGTGGGCACCCTGGAAAGGCTGGCCAGGGATATTCACATTGAGTACAAAAATAATCGTCATTTGAATACAAACAACTGAAAAGTGCTACACGTCTTAACCTCCTTTAAACAAATAAAAAGAAATGAAGGAAAGTTTCTGCAGAGGGCTGCCCGGGTGTGCCCTCTCCTCCTTCCGGGGCTCCCAGGCGCTTCCTGCTTGTGCAGGTACCTGGACTTCAGAGAGGGAAGATGTGGAGACCCACGGCTTGCACCACACTCGGAGGCCCCCTTCCTTACATTCAGCACCCCAATCGGGCGCCCCCACCCTAGCTCTGACACAAGGGAGGGGTGGAGCAGAGGGCCTGAAAACCCAGTCCTTCACTTTTCAAATCAACCCCTGGCCTGGTGCTGCCTGGGACTGCCAGGGTTTCGCACCCCTTGGTTACAAATGCAATTTCCAAAAATAAAAGATATGTAGATACACATAGATTGGTAGCATGGATACCATGAACTAGTGTGGCCTAGTGCAGAAAGCTCCCAGCAGGCCGGAAATTCTGAGGATTCAGGCTATGTGGTCTCCAAGAGTTCCCGCTTAGGGAAAACCCCACCCCCAGGCAGACATAATTCGAATCCAAATTCAACTCCAACATTGTCATGATAATAAATAGAGCCCAGGGACTTCCAGGCAGGTGGGCTATCAGGGCCCCTAGGCCATAGGGTGCCTCTGTTCAAATTAGTAAAAGGCGCCCCCTCGGGGCAGACTCAGCCCAGCTGCCAGGGGACAAGTCCTGGCTAACGGGAGCTGGAGCTGAGTTTCACCTCCAGGTGCCTCCTTGGCGGGGCGCCCCGTGCAGGCTACAGCCTACAGCTGTCAGCGGCGGTCTGGAGCCGGGGCGCGGGAATCCCTCGCTGCCTCAGCCCAGGCCGGTTCACTGGGTGCCTGCGGCGGCCGCGCAGGTGGAGAGCGCCCAGCCTGGGAGGCAGTAGTAGGGGTAATAGTAGGAGGGCTGCAGTGGCAGAAGCGAGGGTGGCCGCAGCACTTCGCCGGGCAGGTATTGTCTCTGGTCGTCGCGCACCAGCACCTTTACCGCCACCTTCTTGGCGGCGGGCGCCGAGGCCAGCAGGTCGGCGGCCATCTGCCGGCGCTTGGTCTTGTAGCGACGGTTCTGGAACCAGATTTTCACCTGCGTCTCGGTGAGCTTCAGCGACGCGGCCAGGTCGGCGCGCTCGGGCCCGGAGAGGTAGCGCTGGTGGTTAAAGCGGCGCTCCAGCTCGAAGACCTGCGCGTGGGAGAAGGCGGCCCGCGACCGCTTCTTGCGTGGCTTGGGCGCCGCCGGCTCCTCCTCCTCCTCCGCGACGCCTGCCGGCGCGCTGCCGCCCCCGCCGCCGGCCCCGCTGCACAGCGCGGACATGCGTGCACCTCTGGGGCCAACACCGTCGTCCTCGGTCCTTGGGCTGCGGTCGCCTGCGGACCCCGGTGGGAACAGAAACAAGAAACTGTCAGCGCCACAGACGAGGTGAGGCCAGGCCTGAACTGCAGGGGTCACGGGGGTGGGGCGGAAATACACTTTGATCCCACTCAAGCGGAGCCGAAGTCTGGGAGGCCCTGCGCCCGGGAGACCAGTCTTAGAATCTTGCCCCACTGGGTATCCCATCTAGGCCTCTTCTGGGGAGGGCGCCGGACTCAGTCGCTGTGTCAACGCTGTGTTGTGGAGACCTGCTCCCCACCCTCTCTGGGTCCTAGGCTCCCCGCAGTAACTTGGGGCACTAGACCCGAGGATCCGCGAAAGCCCTCCCAGCTCTCAGTGCTGAGCACTGGGGTTCTAGACTGCATTTCCGTCTCTCTGCTTGGGTTCACGAGCCTCTCCACACTCAGTTCACGCGCACACACACGCACGTCATCGCAGCACACACTTGTCTGGTGCAGGTAAGGGAAGGTGGAGGCGGATACTGGGGCCAAAGGTATTTAGAATCTTTCACCCTCAGCCGCCTGGGATTGCTGTGAGGGACATGGAAACAGGCTGAGCCAAGGCCTTAGATGAGAGGATGGACTGGAGAGTAAAGAGAGAGGATTGCCACTGCCTCGAGTTTTTGGACCCTGATCCCACACCAGCTTCTCGGTCTCGTACCCGCCCCTCCGAAGAACTCCAGCAGAAAGGTCCAGCTCTTCCCTGTGCTTGAGGCCTACAGAAACTTGTACCCAATTAGGGCGGGCACCCAGGTCTTCCAGACCACAGGACAGGCCAGGCCACGGCTGAGGAGGCCTCTCTCCTGCCTCCGTGATGAACTATAGTCCCACTCCGGGATCCTCGGCCTAGGGCTGCTCTCCCAGACCTGGGGTCTGAGAAAGCCAAACCAGCCGTTTCCCCAAAGCTCTAGTTCTGCAGATTCTCAGCTCTGGCCCACTCGGAGGTATTCTTCACCACCTATCCACCTCCTGTGGGGCCCGGCCCTGGAACCTCGAACTGGCAAAGGACTCTTGTCCAGAGCTAGGGCACTGGCTACTTGAGGTCTCTGCAGCCCTCACTTCGCTTCCCTGATTTTGGGGATTTGGGGACAGGCATGGCAGAAAGCACTGGCGACGAACTCAAAGACTCCCGACCGCAGGAGGAAGCGGTTCTCCCAACCCAGTCTAATGCACATTGACCCAGGACTTCTCAGGCCTCGCCCCAGGACGCCGGGTTCTGAGGAGCTACTCCAGTCTCTCGCGGGCTCAGTTCCCGAAGTGGCAGAGCAGCTCGCGCCAGAGCGCAGAACTTCGGGACTTGGCCAGCCTCCGAGCCCCAGAGCGCAGGGTGCTCACAGCCGACCACCCCACTCGGCGTGGTTGCCCTCCGCGTCCATTCCCTCAGCCCGGCCCCCATCCCCGCGAAGCCGCAGCAGACCTGAGACGCTGGCGGACATCTCGCTGTCGCTCCGGCCCGCGGCTTCCTCCTCTAGGTCTTTGGAAGCGGCCAGCTCACAGACCGGCTGGCCGAGGCTCAAGGATCTACCCGCGAGGCCGGCCCCGCTGGCCCCCGGCGCGTCAGCGCAGCGCCGCCTGCTCTCGTTCTCCTCGCTGAGCGCGGAGTCCGAGTCCCAGCCTTCCGGGCTCTCCGCAGTCCGCCCCGCAGCTGTTCTGGTACCGGTAGGAGACGCCAGCAGAGAGTCCTCGGCGCCCCCCAGAGCGCCCGCGTCCCTCTCCCCAAAGAGCCGCCAACAGCAGACAGCGGGCGCCGCGGCCACCGACACCGTTGTGCCCCCGGACGCCGGGCGCCCCTCTGGCGCGGCCAGCCCGCCGCGCTCCTCTTTTTTGTTGAGGATCGCCTGGATGGAGAAGGGCGTCAAGGTGTTGGCGCCGCGCACAGCCATCTGCGCCGCGGGCCGGAGCGGCCGCCGGGGCGGGCAGCTGGGGCGCCGAGCAGCTCCGAGCGGGACAGAGAGCGCCGGCGGCCGCAGCGCGAGTGAGCCGGTTGTGCGAGGCCGCCGCCGCCCACTCCTGCGCGGCCCAGCAGCCCCCGCCCCACTCCGTCCCAGGATCTGCGCCGACCCTCACCCCCACCTTAGAGGCCCACCCCGCCCGGAGACCCCCTCCCCCCGAATCCAGAGCCAGAGGCTCTCCTTTCGCAGCTCAGCTGGATTATCTCATCGCTTCTCGCCCTTAGGGGCGGGCCGGGGTCTGCCCCCTCGGGGGACGTGAAGGAGGATTGGCGGGGGGCCCCTCCGTGGCAGCAGTTCCCTCCCGAGCGCCGCCGGGGCGCACGGCCCGAGTCACTTTTTCTTTGCGCGTCTGTCCCTTCCTCGCCTGCAGGATTTCGCTCCTGGCCCGTCCTCCCCTTCCCTGCTGGGCAGGCTCTTCCGGAGCCCACCCCCGGCGGCTGCGGCGGCGGCCGCGGCCGCTGGATTCCGAGAGGCACGGGGCACCTTTTTACCCCCTGCCCTGGTTTTATCTGTTTCTTTTCTCTTTCCTTCCCTTGCGTTCCACTGTACCACCCCCTCCCGCCCGGGTGTCATTCCTCACTGCTGAGTGACAGCCTCAGGCCACACCCCTCCACTGGGCTGTCCCGGGTGCTCCCGGCCGTTCATTGGCTGGCTCCAGTTGGGCGACGTTGACTTTAACAGACAAAACTGGGCACGTTGCGCCGCTAAAGACAGGGTCTGACTTAACCCCTTCTCTTCTAAGCCTGGTCCTCGAAGCACCCTCCAGCAACAAGGAGGCTCATCCACCCCAAACCACGTTTCTTACCTCTGCAGATGTATCCACCTATTCCAGCGCTTTAATAGAACCCTGATACTAAGTTGAGTCAAATCTCCGGAGAAAATCCAAGATAATGCAGTTCCATAAATCATGCTCGTAGTTTCTGTTCTCTAGGAAGGATTATAAACACGAAGCACAAAATGCATCTTTTTTTCTCCCTACAGTTTCGCCGCTTCCTCACTGCTAACGTTCTTTGCTGAAATGATCAGTTAATTAAGATCACTCTAGAAACATTTTTCTTTCCTCGCCGTCTTTGATTTGATTCGATTTTTATAGAGGAATTAGAAAAAAATAGTATAACTAGAACTAAAGTCAGGAGACGAATTGAAAGGCATCTTTGGGAGAATTTCTGTAAATTTTATGGTCGTTTCCCTGGCAGATCAATATTGAATTTAACTGGAGTTGGTTAAGTTTTGCATCAGGAAGAAAAAAAAAAACTTTCAGTTTTTAAAAAATATCTCTTGTGAGTTGAATAAAATTATAAATAGATATGTTTGTTTGCTTAAAATTATACTTGGAATTACCATAAAGTGATCCAGAAGTGACAACACTTTTTGCTTTTTAAAAAATAAAAAATGCGTTGTATTATGTAATAGTAGGAACCAAGCTAAGAAATACAGATATTGTGGGTATATAAGAATATTTTTAAATGTGTTATTCCTTTTTTAATATAAAATTTGCTCAATTAACGTACTTCACTGTTTTCCATAAACTTTTTCACAGAGAGTTAACACCAAATACACAAACTTGAACCATTAAATACACTTAAAGGACTATGATTTTAATTTAATAAATTGCTAGGATTGGTAGTTTTGGTGTCATTAAAATAAATAACATTTCCCCTTGTTGCTTGCTTTTTGGTTGTTCTTTTTCTGCACCGCAGAAGGAAATACACCCACAATTCATAGTTTTCAGCCTCAGAACGAGGTTTTGCAGCATCTATACTTTCCAACATTTCGGCTACACGATGCTTTCTTGCTTGTGCAAACCTTGTAGGGTACCTGGGAAAAAACATCCACTTGAGGTCATTGCCCTTTATAGCTCTTTATAATTACATCAGTTATAATTACGCCGTTTAAATTTGGTGTCAGTGCTCAGCAAGTGTAAGGACGCAGAGTGGAACAGAGCAGAATGCTTACAGTCTTTCAAAAACAGTGTGTCCTCTCCGCTCCCGCTGTATTATTTAAATTACCGTTCTCCTCACTTCAGGCAGGGATGTTGGGAATTATAGTGAGGAGATTGACACCGGTTGCCTGGAAGGTAGGGGACGGGCAGGTATGGGTTTGGTGTCCCTCACAGCTATCGCTTTGCAGGTTTAGGACTTTGTGCTGACAAATAATGGAGTGAGATCCGAACATAAAGGCAGGCAGAGATGTTTGGGGGTTGAATGGCCGAATACTATAGTAGGTTTGGGGCTACGTAAAGACTTGCTTGAAAACATCTACCATTTAGTTGCGAATCCCTCCCCTCTTCCCTTTGATTAGATGTTTAAAAAGAAACCCAAATCACAGTTGGACATGCTCCTGCCACAGGCTTGGGCAGAAGTTTTCAAAGCATGAAAAGATGTGGTTCGGCGATTTTGAGCTGTCGGGTATTTTTGTGTCCTAGAAGTGTGAGAGAAGGGGCTACGTTCAGCGTCTACCGGAGGCGCACAGCAAGGGAGTCTCCTGGTGTCATCTCGGGCCATTACGGCGGCGCTCAGTCGATCATTAGGTCTGTGGGTGACTGTAGGCAAGGCCAGGAGTTGGGTGCTTGGCGCGGAGGAGTGTTGAGCTGCAACTAGAAGCTGCTCCTAGTAAGGGGTCGGGTGGAGAGGAAAAGAGTATGGGGGAGGGGAGGTGGTTGGATGCCCAGAGATATCCCGGCGTAACTGCGGAGTCGGAGTCCAGGCCCACAAGTGGGGGTGTGTGGCGAAGGCGCAGCAGGCCTGCGTCTGTCGGAGGACCGCAGATCTGGACGTGACCGCGCGGGCGTGCCTGGGTCCCGCTTCGTGCCCATTGAGGGCGACTTCCTTCGGGCTCAGCTGTGAGCTCCAGGAACTCTGCAACCTCCCGACTGGCGCCACGCTCCGGCCTGGGCCGGCCTGGGAGTTGGCGGAGCTGCGCGGCCCGGCGGGGCGGCCGGCGAGGCTTTCGAGAGGCACCGGACTCGCTCGGCGTCCACGCCTCTCTACCCCACCGCAACCCCTCTGCGCCCCCCGAGCCCATTTTTTACTAGTCTTCTGCCTCTCTTCCTTTTCCCTCTCTCCCCTCCTCCTCCACATCTTTCTCTTCTTCCTCCTCTTGCTCCTCTTTCGCAGTTTGGATACTACGGGCCCCCTATGCACCGCGCCCTTGGGTCCCCGGAACCGCCGGGGCTGGGGGTGCTGCTGCGCGGTGAGACTTCCGCGGGCGGCGGGCGGAGAGCGGGACTAGACTGTGAAAGTCAAGGGGGCGGGGAAGGGGAAGCCCCCGCCCTCGCGGGCGCGCGGTAAGCTGCTGCGCACGTGCCCGTGCTCCCGGGGTTGGGGGGGGGGGGTGGCCCAGTGGGCTCGGGATTTCCTGGCTGCGCCACCGCGCGCCTCGCCCCCAATGCCCTCCACCTGTGCCCTGGGCCGCCTTCCCTGACGCCAGCGGCCGGTGGGCGCGCGCGCTGGGTGCTGCCCAGCAACGAGAGGCCATGCGGGGCTCGTCCCTCAGATGCCGGTGACCTTGACTGAAGTCACCTGCCTTCTCTAGCTTCCAGTCCTTTAAAACGAGGGTTTGGACCCGGTGCCTTCTGAAGCCGGTTCTTCACTGAGTAAGCAAGTGAAGGGTGTGTGTGTGTGGGGGTGGGGACGGGGGGTGGGGGCGGGAGGAGGGAGGGGTGGCGTTGCAGGCTCTCCAGAGCCAGGTCCAGGCAGAGGTCGCGCCCAGCACTGACGGTCGGTCCCAATCTGCAGACTCCCGAGGGCGATCCAAACTGCCTAAGCATCCCAGGAGTCGAGCACCCGCGCCTGCGTTCCTGAGTCATCCAGCGCCCTGCAGCGTTTTTCATGCACTTGGTCCGTATATATCAGACTGCAGAGAGAGGCTGTATTGTAACTGGCCAGCTTATAATACTCTAAATAATAATATAAAAGGTAGTTTTATATTTAAACAAATATTGCTCACTGACAGTGTGCCCGGAACCAAAGCCTATTGTTTCATTGAATGTACACACCCTTGGGACTGGAATGAGTAGAAAACATTGTTATTCCTGTTTTACAGATGAAGAAACTGAGACTCTTGACTATCAGTAAGTGGCTAAGTCAGAATTTAAATCAGGCTTTGTCTAATGTCAAATCCAGTTGGATTTTCTACTGTAATCGGTTTTTCTCATTAATCTTCAGACTTATCGTTTCCCATCATGGACCTTACCCATTTTTAATTGCTTATTCATTGGAAAAGGAGCTTCGTTCGAATTTAAGGTAATCAAAGAAAAAATTCAGTCAGACAAATCTAATGACTTTTTTTTTCTGTTCCACGCATTTGAAAACAAATCACACCAAGGCCTGAGGATCTGAACGTAAACCTCGTTGTGTAGAAAGAAGGAAACACACTATTTTATTATAATCAACAAACTAAACCGTGTGTAGAGAGAGACAGCCAGGTGATGGAAACTCATTAGGTTCAGAAACCAGATTGTGCACGCGGTTCTGAGAGGTAGCCAAGCGACCTCACACAAGACCCTCTTTGGGGCTTAGTTTTCTTACCTAAAAAACCAGGGTTGAAGATCACCTCTCAGGGTGTTAAAAGGACATGTGCCAGCTTCGAACCCGCCTGGGTACAATGGAGAACGAGCGCCACCTAGCGGGAATCCCTCTAGGGTTGCACGTACCTTTTATAGGGAGGTACTGGAATAAGCAGTACACAAAACGGACTGTTTTGCTTCTAGTTTCGTGTACACAGTCTTGCGCTGCCAGGGATCTAATAGCGGAGATGTTTCATTTAAAAAAACTCACCCAGACATGGTTAGCACCTCCACTGAAGACTCACCTCGCTCCAGGGCCAAGGGGGAGGGACTGGAGCAGGACGCAGGCGTGTTGGGATCAATTTTAGAACGGAGGCTGCAGGAAGCCCTGGCCCACCTCCTACGCTATCCTGCGTTCCACCTTGCTGGTCTGCAGGCTGCTTGCTGTGAGTGTATAACCAAAGCTCTCGCTGGATGATCATTTAGGGCACAGGCATCCCTGTGTGTTTTATTGGCGCCATAGAAATTTTGTTTGTTTGTTTGTTTTGTTTGTTTTTTGTTTTTGAGATGGAGTCTCGCTCTTGTCACCCAGGATGGAGTGCAATGGCGCAATCTCGGCTCACTGCAACCTCCGTCTCCCGGGTGCAAGCGATTCTCCTGCCTCAGCCTCCCGAGTAACTGGGATTACAGGTGCCCGCCACCACACTCGGCTAATTTTTGTATTTTTAGTAGAGAAGGGGTTCTACTACGTTGGCCAGACTGGTCTCGAACTCCTGACCTCAAGTGATCTGCCCGCCTCAGCCTCCCAAAGTGCTGGGATTACAGCCACCACACCTGGAAGGGTTTTATTTTCTTATTTAGGTTGTCTATTTGACAGTGGGTGGATGGCAGTTGTATTCGGGGACTTGAGGAGGAGAGCAGGGGCAGGAGCCAGCTTCAGTAGATAAAGAGAAACATGCTATGGTCAATTGCTTGTGCTGAGTTTCAGATGCTTGTGAAACAAAATGAAAGTCTTCTGGATGTATTATATATTTTTTTCTCTAAGATACTATTCTGAAAGCCCCTGCAGTGCTAAGTCAAGTTCTCCTTGGGAAATTTCCAGCTAGTTCTTATTTTGTGTCAGGCATTATTCTAGGATCTGTAGTTCAAGGTCTTGTAAACTCCTACTCTCAACAGGCTACATTCTGTTGGAAGAACACCTATAAATAGACAAATGCCTAAACAAAACAATGAAAAAAACATCAGGCAGTAATAAATACTATGAAGCAAATTTAAAAAGAGTGATGTCAGCTGACATCATACTGAATGGGCAAATGCTGGAAGCATTCTACTTGAAAATCAGCATAAGACAAGGATGCCCTCTCTCTCTCACCTCTCCTATTTAACATAGTATTGGAAGTCCTGGCCAGGGTGATCAGGCAATAGAAAGAAAGGGCATCCAAATAGGAAGGGAGGAAGTCAAACTATCCCTGTTTCCAGACAACATGATTCCATATTTAGAAAACCCCATAATCTCTGCCCAAAATTCTTTCAGCTGATAAATAACTTTGGCAAAGTCTCACGATACAAAATTAATGTACCCAAATCACTAGCATTCCTATACACCAACAACAGCCAAGCCGAGAGCCAAATCAGGAATGTAATCCTACTCACAGTTGCCACAAAAGAATAAAATACCTAGGAATACAGCTAACTAGGTAGCTGAAAGATCTCTATGATGAGAACCACAAAACACTGCTCAAAGAAATGAGAGAGGACACAAACAAATGGAAAAACATTCCATGCTCGTGGATAGGAAGAATCAATAGCATTAAAATGGTTATACTGCCAAAAGCAATTTCTAGATTCAATGCTATTCCTATTAAACTATCATGAGATTCTTCACAGAACTAGAAAAAACTATTTTAAAATTCATATGGAACCAAAAAAGAGCCCAAATAGCCAAGACGATCCTAGGCAAAAAGGACAAAACTGGAGGCATCATACTAACTGACTTGAAGCTATCCTACAGGGCTACAGTAACCAAAACAGTGTGGTGCTGGTACAAAAACAAGACATATAGACCAATGGAACAGAATAGAGAGCCCAGTAATAAGGCCACACACCTACAATCATCTGATCATCAGTAAAGCAGATAAAAATGAGCAATGGGGAAAGAACGCCCTATGAAATAAGTAGTGCTGGGATAACTGGCTAGCCATATACAGAGAATTAAAATTGGACCCCTCCCTTACACCACATAGAAAAATCAACTCAAGATGGATTAAAGACTTAAATGTAAAACCCAAAACTATAAAAGCCCTGGAAGAAAACTAGGCAATACAGTTTTGGACATAGGAATGGGCAAAGATTTCATGATGAAGATGCCAAAAGCAATTATAAGCAAAAATTAACAAATGGGATCTAATTAAACTTAAGAGCTTATGTGCAGCAAAAGAAACTATCAACAGAATAAATAAAACAACAAAGTAAAGAAACCACAGAATAAATCCTACAGAATGGGAGAAAATATTTGGAAACTATGCATCTGACAAAAGTCTAATATCCAGCATATATAAGGAAATTAGACAAATTTACAAGCAAAAAACAACTCCATTGAAAAGTGGGCAAAGGACATGAACAGACACTTTTCAAAAGAAGACATACATGCAACCAACAAGTGTATGAAAAAAAGCTCAGTATCACTTATCATTAGAGAAATGCAAATCAAACTCACAATGAGATAACATCTCACGCCAGTCATAATGGTTATTATTAGTCAAAAAATAACAGAAGCTGGAGACTTATACACTGTTGGTGGGAGTGTAATTAGTTCAACCACTGTGGAAAGCAGTGTGGGGATTCTTCAAAGAGCTAAAAATAGATTTACCATTCGACCCAGCAATCCCATTACTGGGTGTATACCCAAAGAAATATATAAATTGTTCTGACATAAAGGCACATGGACCTATATGTTCTTTCCCTATTAAACACTAATTCTTTCCCTATTAAACACTAGTTCATTGTTGCACTACTCACAATAGTAATATAGACATGCATATAGGCAGGAATAGACATGAAATCAACCTAAATGCCCATCAATGATAGAATGGACAAGAAAATAATACATATACACCATGGAATACTACACAGCCATAAAAAAGAACAAGGTCATGTGCTTTGTGGGAACATAGATGGATTTGGAGGCCATTATCCTTAGCAAACTAATACAGGAACAGAAAACCAAATATTGCATGTTCTTACTTATAAGTGAGTGCTAAATGATGAGAACACATGTGCACAAAGAGGGGAACAATAGATACTGTGGCCTACTTGATGGTGGAGGGTGGGAGGAGAGAGAGGATCACGAAGAATACCTATTGGGTACTAGGCTTAATGTGTGGGTGATAGATTTGTGTACAAACTCCTGTGACATGAATTTACCCATATAACAAACCTGCACACGTGCCCCTGTGTGTAAAAGAAAAGTTAAAAATGAAAATAGAAACAAAAAACAGAGTGATATGATAGAGGGTGACTTGAGGCTACTTTTCATGGGTGAGATTGAAATCTGAAAGAGATACCTTGTGAAGACTGAGAAAGATTTTCAGAGAGAGGAAGAAATAGTGCAATAAACATTAGGTAGGAACCGCCATTATGGGCTGAAAGTGTTCTCCTTAAAGTGATAGATTGAGATCCTAATCCCCAGTGTGATGGGATTAGGATATAAGGCTTTCAGGATATAATCAGGTCATAAAGGTGAAGCTCTCATGAATGGGATTAGTGCCCCTACCAGAAGAGACAAGAGAGAACTTGCTTCCTCCCTCTCTCCCCCATCTATCTGTTTCTCTCTGTCTCTGTCTCTCTCCTTTTCTCTGCCTTGTGAGTATACAACAAGAAAGTGTCTGTCTCCAAACACTGGATCTACCAGCACTTTGATCTTGGACTTCCCAGCCTCCAGAACTGCGAGAAATAAATGTTAAGACTCCAGTGTATGGCGTGCTTGTTATAGCAACCCTAGCTGACTAAGATGCAGTCATAGTGTGCTCACAGGCATAACAGCTTGCTCCTGTGGCCAGAGGACAGTGGGAGAGAGGCAGAGTGATGAGAGTTGGAGTCCAAGATCAAGCAGGGTTTTTAAGCCTCAGTGAAGGGCATGAACTTTATTCTAAGTATATGGGAGACCATGGAAAATTGTACACAAAAGGGAACCAGACTATGATTTACATTTTTAAAAATTACATTGGCTTAGAAGACAAGATGATTGTGGGGTGAAATAAAGGAAAATCAGGAAGACAAACTAGAAGCTAGTGCAAGAGTCCAAACAAGAGATTAC